AGTGTAGAGTGTCCACCTTGATCCCTCCATGTTGGTCTTGGGGAACCAGCATCAACATGATGTGCATGCTGCTTGCTATGCAGTGAGAAATGACATCTTTTGCCTTAGACCTAGGAATATTGTTTTGATTTGGGGGGGGGGGGGGGGAATGTTATAACATCTCATTAGAAATTTGTCATCCAAGCTGTGCCAAATAGATCCATTCAAAAGCCAGAAATTATAAGAGTGACTGCTTCTTGGGACCTCTTAAGCAAGTGGAATTAAGGAAATCATACCATGGCTGGTTTTCATGGTTAGTAATATCAAAGGCAGTGAATCAAAAGTTACTGGATCACGCTGGCAAGATCATGACAATGTATTCTACACATTTATTTGAGTCAGATAATTTTTAAATACTTCTTAAATGTTACTCTCTGCCAAGAATTATATTCACTTATACTTTTTTTTTTAATGTTTTTATTTATTTCAGAGAGGAAGAGAGAGGGAGAAACATCAATGATGAGAGAAAATAGTTGATCGACTGCCTCCTGCATGCCAGATACTGGTGATCAAGCCCTCAACCTCAGCATGTGCCCTGACCTCCTATTTCATAGGTTGATGCTCAATCACTGAGCCATGCCAGCCAGGCTCACCTATACTTTTTGATACAAGATTTCGTATTATAAGGATAATCTTATAAAGCAATTCCCTGACCTGCCTTTAGATAGGTAGGGGATGAATCTGCTTCTGGATAGGTTGAATCTGTCCTTTGAAAAACAGCAAGGTAGGTGAAAATGTGCAGAAGGGTTCAAGCAGGGTTGCATCACTACCACATTAGCCCGGGAACCGAGGCAGACAAAGATAAAACAGAAATAGAAGTGAGGATGTGGCAACACCTGCTGCTGAACCACTGACAAAATGTTGAAAGCTCTTTTGAGACACAGGTATTTCTCTGTGTTGAAAGAATCTAGATGTGTGAACTCTCTGATGAAATTAGCTCCGTTACTCTTTTCAGTGGGTGCTTGTTGCTTTTGCCTGGTTAGCATACATTCTGTCTTTGGGAATAGCATCTAGATTTTCCCTTAGGGAGTCCCCTCTCCCCACTCTCTTGGTCCACAGTGTTGAGTGAAGCTGACAATTATACCAGGTACTTGGTTCAGTAGGGCCCATAATCAAGTGACTTCATGAGGGGACTTTGGTTGTTTTTACTGACATTGTTATTGTGAATAACATAAGCTAGAAATCATGAGTAGAAAGAATAGTCCTGAAAATAGTGCCATCACCGTGGAAAACTGGATCAGGAAGAGATAAATCCCAAGATTTACTGACACAATTTTGGCCCAGATCCAGCCATGCCTATTCAAGAAGCTGATTTTTTAAAAAACTCGTAATTACCACAATACATGCATATAAGTACAACCAAATGGACACAAAACTCTGGGGAGGGAGGGGCAATGTTAAAATATATACACAGATAATAATTTAATAAAAAAAATTAGAAGATGAACATTTTACACTGGGGTAATGTGTTAGAATTTACGGAGATGACCTCAATAGCAGGCAACATATAAGGAAGTGGCAAAATGTTCCTATCTCTGCAGTCAAGCTGCCTGGGATCAAATCTTGGTTTTCTGACTTACTGACCATGTGGCCTTGAACAAGTTGCTGAACCTCTCTAAATCTCCATTTCTGTATCAGAAAAGATGAGCATTTATCATATTAGACTGTTAATTCCTTGAAAGGCAATGATCGTGTTTTACTTATCAATAAATAACTAGCACTTAGCACAATGCCTGGCACATACTTGTTGAATATTTGACAAATGAGCAACATGTCATGAAGCTAAATTTCATCTATCTTCCTCAATAGCTTCTCACCTGCCCCCAGAATGCCTCCCCAGCAGCTGCTCCAAAATTGTTGATGAAACAGAGCTGAATTGATTGTGAAGAATTCTACCTCTCATGAACTTGATGGGATTCTCCCAGGTATTCCTGTTTTCCAGGTACAAGTAGTTTCCATCTGAAACCAAGCATAGTGATGGTTGGGTTAAGAAAGAAAAGAAAAAGTCGAAATACTGAGTCAGCTAGCCAATCGTTGAGTCAACAGTTGCAACAACAAAATGTACTCGTGGAAAGATAAGCAATGATCTCAGGCAGTGCATGCTGGGTGCCCAACGAAGAGCACTGGCAATAAACACTAATAGAGTTCACAGCCAGGAGAGAGAAAACAGGAAGGTGGTGATGTGTCAACCCAATCGAAAAGAATCTATTCTAGATCTCTTCATAGACAAGAGGTGCTGTCAGTTGTTTTTGTTGTTATATCTCAGAGTTTCCTCTGCACAGCAGCAGCCTGTCAACAGCTTAAGGCGTTGGAGCCAGCCTTCCTCAGGGGCCCAGAGTCTGACAGGCCCCAGGCACCTGTAGTTTTTGTGTACAATAAGGGGCTGGAGCCTAGTGTCAGGGCCCAGATTTCCTTACTTCTGGCCCCCCAGCACTCAACTTAGGGGACTGACCTGCAGCTGAGAACAGGGACAGATCTTATTCTTCCCCAGTTCACTCATCGCTGGTTGAAAGAAAAGGTAACTCTAAGTAACTCCTCATTGACATAAATGTCACAGTTCCTACTCCGATTACCTCATAACCTTCCTCTTAGCCCCTATCTCCAAAATAAAAATAAATACCCCTTAGAATTTGACAATCCTTTCTTTGCCAGATTACTACCTTGCTTCTGATCTTGGAGATGGAGAATATTTTCTTAGATTTCTTACTTTTTTAAGTGCATTAATATTTCTTTAGAGTATGACTGTGAGACTAGAGAAATTAGATATAAAAACCAAGAGTTGTGCCTGGCACCTGCCTTAGCACAAGGTAGTCCTATTTGGCTCTTTCTGTCAAATCCTTAAAAGCAAAAGGACAATGAAATCAATAAGTGTGCCCAAGCTGGTTTGGCCCAGTGGATAGAGCATCAGCTTTGTGGACTGAAGGGTTTCTGGGTTCAGTTCCAGTCAAGGGCATATGCCTGGGTTGCTGGCTCAATCCCCAGTAGGGGGCATGCAGGAGGCAGCAGCCAATCAGTGATTTTCTCTCATCATTGATGCTTCTGTCTCTCTCTCCTCCCTTCCTCTGTGTGTGTGTCTGTGTGTGTGTGTGTGTGTGTGTGTGTGTGTGTGTGTGTGTCTGTGTACTTTTTACATTTTAAAGAGACATCATGGTATGTTTCTTTTTCTACTAAGTCAAGCTACAAGGCCTCGCCTAGTGACATTTATTTGGCCATTAAATGTATTTCTCTCCAGTGACAACATGAGCCTGGCAGAACATTGAGAACCAGCGGCTAAGAAAAGAAATGCAGTCTTCCTGCTCACGGAAGAGATCCTAAGACATCCTTGCTAACATGGCATAGCCACAAGGGCTTGGGTATGAGTCAGCCATAAATGCTGAGTGGGTTGGTGAGGGCTACAGCGTTCATGAGGATTTCAGATGAAGCCACACACACGAGTGCTCATCGGTTATTGTCTGTGTGTGGTACAGTCTGTAATTTGACTCGTGTCTTTTTGTTATCATGTGTTATGCTTCACCGAAGCCTGCTGCAAGCTCTCATTTTCCTCTGCTATCAGGATTCCTCTGCTTCATGAATGAGCATTAAGGCTTAGTGGCAAGAATCCTAAATATTCCTTCCAACTACACAGACAGAAAGGGCTAAGAGACAGTTATATTTTATTAGCATCTGATTCCAGAAACAATCCCAATCCTCCTAACTTCTTAATCGTAGATGCTTTTGGCACTCACCCGAGCCTCGTTCGACCCTCTCTGGAGCACCTAGGAACCAAATCAAAAGCAGCAGCAAGCAAAGATGAGATGAGTGTGCAAACAGTTAAATAAAACAAGCTTTCAGGCTTCCTGCATCCTTCCTTCCTAGGCCCAGTCCTGTCTAGCATTGCCAGATTTAACAAAGAAACGCATCCACGGGACCCTGTATTTTATCTGACAATCCTGTTAAGGCCCTTCGTAACTCTGTTTTCGTTTTCTGCCATCGGAGCCAAAAATTAGTCATCTAAACTTACAGCAGTATTTCTCAAAGCTTGGTTCCAGAGGACCTGAATGAGAATAACCTGGGGAACTGTGAAAAAGGCAGATTCCCGAGGCTCAGCCTAGACTTACAGGTTCAGAAACACCGGGGATGGGCCTGGGAACATGCACTTTAAAATCTCAAGTGCACTCAATAATTCCGAGGTGCACTAAAGCATGACAATTCTTTAACGACCTCAGTGTTTTTCCTCTCCTGGCAGTACATCTTTAAAGCCTTTTTCCACTGTGCAAAGGAGATAATAAAAGTGCAGTATCAGATATTTATAAGGACCTTATTAAATATTTGTTTCCTTAATACCTTATTCTTTTTGTTTCCTTTCTTTAATGCCTTCTTAAAGAAACTCTGAACTTCAGAAGAAAGTGGGAGGCTGCTTCTGCTCACCCCTGTGCACACCTGACCCCCCAGGACTGACCCTGTCCCAGGCGGCCACTCCAGGCCAGCGGTCAGGAGGGCCTTGGGGCAGCAGCTCCAGCAGAAACATGTCCAGAGCGTCTCCCTGGGGGACAAACAGAATGTGCAGTGTGCCACGAAGCCTGCATTACCCCTTCTCTGAACAACTCCTCTACTTCTTTCCCCTCGGGATCAAAGCGTTAACTTAAAACTGGAATTTCCCCGCAAGATCCCTTTCAACGTCCCTAATTCTGCTCGTTGCGTTTTCCAGCATTTAGTCTGAAAGTCAACCACCAGCATTCTGCAAGGTAAGAACCTTGGGCCTGAGGCCCCTGGTAGAATCCTGTAGGTTCAGGATTGGGTTTGGAAAGAGACTACAAGCCCCAAAATGCAATGTCACCTTCCAAAGACTACCATTCCCAACATGCAATGCAGCAACGGTTAGCAAAGGAAAAGAACCCAAAGCACCGTTGGAAATTTTGCATTTCAGTGCCCTTTGGGCAAGGAAGTGATTAGACAGGCCGTAGGGGGCATTTTTTGCAGGAGTGGTCACTCCCCAATCCAGGCCAGGAAGGGGAGGAGTCTGAGCCGTGTCCCACCCCTTTCCCAGTAAACTTCTGCCGCTCCCAGTTTGGCTGCAGGAGTTGGAAGAGCGGAGGGGTCCCTGCGCACAGCCTGAGCCTTCCCCATGGTGTCGGTGACCAGATCCGTGTTTGGAGAGCTGCCCTCCGGGGCAGGGACAGTGGAGAAGTTCCGGCTGCAGTCGGACCTGCTGGGAGTGGACATCCTCTCCTGGGGTTGCACCATCTCGGCCCTGGAGGTCAAAGACAGGCAGGGCAGAGCCTCGGATGTAGTGCTGGGCTTTGCCGAGCTGGAAGGTGGGTGAGAACTCTGCCCCCGGTTGCAGGCGGGCCTCAGGCCCACCCCGCATACGGCAGGAGCAGGGACTGGAAGGCTTGGATCCTGCCAACTCCCTGTGGTGTAGCCAGTGCTCGGAAAAAGACAGAATGAACAACTATAGGAGTTGGCCTCTGCTTATCCATTCAGGCTTTACCTCGATTGATTTAAAAAGTCAGTGGAGGGTCAGGGAAGAGAACACTCCGGCAGCCCTGGAGCGATCTTTGAACCGCCTGGTCTTAGTCACAGCTGAGGAGGAAAAGGCAGGCTGGAGGGGGTGTGGCTCCTAGCTCCGCCCTCTTGCCCTTTCTCAACAAGGAAAAGCAAAGACGTGCGTTTTCTGCTAACTTTTCCTGGATCAGATTCTCTTGGAGGCGAGTTTGTCTCAGAAATACCCAGGGGATGCACACAGCTTCTTCGCTTTGGTCTGGTGGGGTTAGTGCCCAGCAGGCTCTGGCTGCTCAAGGACCCCGCACAGAATGGAAGGTGGAAGGCCTACTTTAGAAATGAGGTCTTCTTCTAGCTAGGGTGGACTTTTATCCGGTTAGAATCCATGGGCAATTAAGATTATATATTACTGCCCTAACCGGTTTGGCTCAGTGGATGGAGCGTAGGCCTGCGGACTGGAGGGTCCCAGGTTCGATTCCGGTCAAGGTCATATGCCTTGGTTGCGGGCACATCCCCAGTGGGAAGTGTGCAGGAGGCACATGTTTCTCTCTCATCGATGTTTCTAACTCTCTGTCCCTCTCCCTTCCTCTCTGTAAGGAATCAGTGATATATATATATATATATATATATATATATATATATATATATATATATAAAATTTAATATGTAATCATATATTACTACATGCATTCATGCATTTAAAAACTGTTAATTCAGTTACCTCATCCAATGAGACGGACGAGGTCCCCACCCTCATAGAGCTTGTAGTTTAGCTGGGGACATTTGCCAAATAATGGCATAAATAAATAATTACAACTGCAGTTCGATGGCAATAAAGGAGAGCAGGCATAGTGTTCTCTTGGTAGTGGGGGTATGACTGGACAGAAAAATGAGGTCTGAAATAAAGTTGGCAAAGGGACACTGTTGAGAGTTGATGTCCTCTGCCGTTGTAGAAGCGGAAACAAAATCAGCTTAGCGAGGAGGTTTGAGGTTTTCTTGTAGGTGTGTCTTTCCACCCGGTTCTTCAGATGTGTAGCACGGCTCCGAGGTGGATGTCAACAGAAAACTCTTGAGAGAGTATTGGGTTTCCCTGAGGAGACTGGAATTTGCTTCCCATTTCCTTATCAAAATGTGTTCTAAGAACATCCCTGAGGATCCTATTCCTTGCCCTCTGGTTGTCTTCATCTGCATTGGAGCTTCTACAGCTTGGTTTGGGGAAGGGGGAGGTCATGAAAGAACAGGGATGTGGGGGAAACAGCTCCGTATTCCCTTGAATTTCTGGAGGTGGGTGTTCACATCTGTCTTCAAGTCAGAAGGCAAGAGGTACGGTTGACAAATGACCAAAGAGGATTCCTCATTTTGCTGAGTCACCCCTCTCTGTCACTATAGCATAACCATTTTCCAGGCTGAAACAAACCATAAAAAGCTTACTTGACTGGTGCGAAATTGCCCGTGGAGTCAAAGAATTGGGTACTTGGCTTACAGTTGCAGAACCAGTAAAGCACTGGAGCTGATAAGCTAAGAGCACCTGTTTTTATCATCTCATTTCTATCTCGGCCTTATCACTATTCAGGAAGTCACTACCCTCCCTCTACACACACACAGACACACACACACACACACACACACACACACACAGAGTTCATACCATTTTTAGTTCTGATGTGAGTCACATGGATCTTAACGCACAAGGTGGCTTTCTGGGATTCATATGAAATATGTGTCACGTTGACCTGGCACCGGGGAAGTGCTGGCATAGAAGTGCTTTTATACAACTGTCTCCATGAGTCTATGACTCGTGGAAGTCTGAGTGAAAGAAAATATTCCTAATTGTTCTTAAAAGGGAGGGGGGAAAAACACACCTGATCCCCTGGATTGTGTTGTATTGCCCTCCATGTTATTAAATAGAATTGTCTTAACCTCATGCGTCGCAGGCTTCACAAAAAGCAGCAAGAGACATTTTTATTTTTTTTTCTTTCTGTTTTTTTATTTATTAAATTATTATCTGTGTACATATTTTAACATTGTCCCCCCCTCCCATACATACCCTCCCTCCCCAGAGTTTTGTGTCCATTGGTTGTACTTATATGCATGTATACAAATCCTTCAGTTGATCTCTTATTTCCCCCAGATCTCCCTACTCTCCTCGCTGTAATTTTACAGTCTGCTTGTTGCTTTACTGTCTTTATATCTATCTTTTGGTTTGTCAGTTTATAATGTTTTTTAATATCCATAAATGAGTGAGGCCATGTGGTATTTCTCTTTCATTGACTGGCTTATTTCACTCAGCATGATGTTCTCTAGTTCTATCCAGGTTGCTGCAAATGATGAGAATTCCTTCTTTTTTATGGCAGCATAGTATTCCATTGTGTAGATGTACCATAGTTTTTGGATCCAATGATCTGCTGACCTAGGCTGTTTCCAGATTCTAGCTATTGTAGATTGTGCTGCTATGAACATAGGGGTGCATATATCCTTTCTGATTGGTGTTTCTAGTTTCTTGGGATATATTCCTAGAAGTGGGATTATTGGGTCAAATGGGAGTTCCATTTTCAGTTTTTTGAGGAAACTCCACACTGTTCTCCACAGTGGTTGCACCAGTCTGCATTCCCACCAGCAGTGCACGAGGGTTCCTTTTTCTCCACAACCTCGCCAACACTTGTCGTTTGAGACATTTTTATTTCTAGGCTGTCATTTAAATAATTTATGTTGAAAGAAAGTCAAGCTGTTTTCAAAAGAGAAGGTGGGGGGGAAAAAGTGCTGAGAATATCAAGCTATACTTTCTAATCGATCCAGCCATCTTCAAGATTATGCAGACAGCCCCCTGTTCCCTTCCTAAGGCCCTGTCCGTGTGTGTGTGTGTGTGTGTGTGTGTGTGTGTGTGTATTCTTTTAGTATTGCCAACAATAAGTAAGACTTCACAACAGGAAGCATAATTGTCTCAATCGGAATACAGTTATGGTTGCATAACAATATTTCGGCCAAGATTAGACCACACTACAGTAGTATACCAACCATATAGCCTAGGTCAGTGGTTGGCAAACTCCTTAGTCAACAGAGCCCAATATCAACAGTACAATGATTGAAATTTCTTCTGAGAGCCGAAAACCGACTTCTGCGCGTGGGCCACGAAGTTTCAATTGCACTGTATGTGCACGCCTGCCCGCACGTGGTATTTTGTGGGAGAGCCACATTCAAGTGGCCGAAGAGCCACAGGTGGCTCTCGAGCCAAAGTTTGCCGACCACTGGCCTACGTGTATAGTAAGCCATATTATCGGGGTTTGTGTAAGTGCATTCAGTAATGTCTGCACAAAGGTAAAATCTCTCAATGTGTCCCCATCACTAAGCTGCTCTTAACAGACGTATGGAATGGCTCTCTGCTACTATTTTCATCCATTCTAGTGTATTAAAACCCATGTTAAGAAATCGGCAACAGTGGTCGCCCTGAAGCAAAGACGCTGGATAGCTGGGGTACAGGGATAGGATGGAGATGTAATGTTCACTACATAGTCTAAGAATGTCCGAGTATGTAAGTGTTAAAGAAACAAACTGAGGCGAATAACTTAAAGCAATAAGATGTGACAGAGCCAGGGTTCTGAGCCACCGGGAAGAGCTGAGTGTGGGTAATTCCATGAAACGTGGTCCTTTTGTAACTGCTAGATGGATGTGAATGAACCATCTCCAATTTCCCCAAACAGATTACATAAACTGCTTGGATGATGGCCATGACCTGAGGTCAGAACAGTTCAATTCCTCCTTGGGTCAATGAGATCTTTCTTCTGTAGAATTCTAAAGAGGTAAATCACATGGTCTTTTCATTACAGGCTGGGAGAGTCAGTCACACCTCCAGTGAGTTTTTCTGCCTTTTTTTTTTTTTTTTTTTTTTTGTATTTAAAATATTTTTTTAACTGTTTTTCATTTGCATGTCCTGCCTGCAATCATTATGACTTCTTTCCAAACCTGTGATGAGAGCATTGGCGTATAAGCCACAGATATGAACAACCTACCCATAATATCGATGCAACTCCTTCCCCTCCATCTTTCCCCCACTTACCACCAGACACCCAGCTATTACTGTCATGAGAGCCATTACGGAAAAGCTAGAAAAAATAAATATAGTGTTTTTGGAAAACCTGAGCTCATAAGAGGGGGTACCCTGGAGGAAGGGGGACCGGTTTAGAGGCTGCAGTTTAATATTACAGATGCCCCAGAGTGCCCTTATGGGAGTATCGAGGATTCCAGTTTAAACCTGCTTTGTCCTTGAGGGCTGTGTGACCTTGGGCCAGTTATTGAACCTCTCCAGACCTATTTCCTCCCCGAAACAAGCGGATAATGATGATTAAATGTGCTGTTGGCTGTGATAGTATCTGACTGTGGTGAACAAGTAATCATTTTTATCTTCTTTCCTTCCTTTGCCCCCAAATATCTTCCCTCGCAGTACGTGAACTTTTTATTTCACTTTATTAGCGCTGGGGGGGGGGGGGGGGGGGGGGAAAAGCATGGAGATTCATCTGGCATAACCAGCAGCCATTGAAAAATATATAAAATATGTGGTAAGCTTACAGTGCTTGTCAATTAATGTTTGTTTTTCTCAAAAAGCCAAAGTGAATCAGCATGAGGGGGTTTTGACGGAGACTAGTGAGCAATTTTGTTTGCGACTTGAAGGTACTCTGGCTAAGGTTTGGGCTATCGGAGGTAGATACAGCCAAACGATTTTTGAACAGAAATTCTGCTTTCTTTGCATTTTGCAGCTCTTGAAAAACAAGCCAATGCTCCACATTATATATCATAAGGGAAACACAAAGTCAAACAAGACCTAATAGAATGGCTAAAGCTCAGACACAACAACACCAAATAGCAGCTAGGATGAGGGGCCACAGGGGCTCTCATTCATTGCTGAAGGGAGTGTAGAATGATACAGCCACTTTGGGAGACAGTTTAGTCGTTTCTTACAAAACTAAACATGCTCTAACCATATGACCCATCAGTCATGCCCCTTGGTATTTACTCAAAGAGCTAAAATCTTATGCCCACACAAAAACCTGCACCTGGGATATCTATAGTAACTTATTCATAACTAGAGGCCTGATGCATGAAGATTTGTGCAGGAATGGGCCTTCCTTCCCCTGGCTGCCGGCACTACCTTAGCTCCAGCTGGAGCCACCTTTCCGCCTTCCCATGCTGCCCAGAGGCCTGGAATGGCTGGGGCGATGCACCTGTGTCATCGCCATAGCAATGACGCAAGCATCCTGCCCCACCTCCAGCCGCTCAGCACCTGTGTATGCAAATTAACCCACTATCTTTGTTGAGTTAATTTGCATACTCACTCCTGATAGGCTGGTGGGTGTTGCAAAGGTATGGTCCATTTGCATCTTACTCTTTTAATTAGTGTGGATTGCTAAGATGTCCTTCAGTAGGTGAATGGATAAACTGGAGTATATTCAGATCATGAAATATTCAGTGCTAAGAAGAAATGAGCTATCAAGCCACAATAAAACAGGGAGGACCCTTAAGTGCATATTACTAAGTGAAAGAAGCCCATCTGAAAAGGCTACATACTGTATGATTCCAACTATATGACAAGATCAGTAGTTGCCAGGGTCTAGGGGGATGGGAGGGATGAATAGGCAATGCACAGGTTTGTAGAGCAGTGAAAATACTTTGTATGATATTATAATGGAGGATACTTTTATCCAAACCCATATAATATACAACACTAAGAGTGAACACTATTGTCAGTTATGGACTTCAATAATTTCTTGATGATGTGTCAATGTAGACTCATCAATTATAATAAATGTACCACTCTAGTAGAGGATGCTGATAATGGGGAAGGCTATGCATGTGTGAGGCCAGGTGGCTCAGTTAGTCGGCACATCCTCCCGGTGCCATGATTGTAGGTTCATCCCCGCCAGGGCACACGCACGAGTCAACCAGTGAATAAGTGGAACCGCCATTTGATGTTTCGCTCTCTGTTTCTATATCTCTGTCTAAAAACAGTCAAAAAAAATTTTTTTTTTAAATCAGTGGACCTGTCTGGTGATGAGGTCAGGATAGTTTCAGTGTCTTCTTTGCACTTTATAACGTTCTTTAAAAGTGTTTACCACTCGCCGAAACCAGTTTGGCTCAGTGGATAGAGCGTCAGCCTGTGGACTGAAAGGTCCCAGGTTCGATTCCAGTCAAGGGCATGTACCTTGGTTGCGGGCACATCCCCGGTAGGGGGTGTGCAAGAGGCAGCTGGTCCATGATTCTCTCTCATTGATGTTTCTAACTCTCTATCCCTCTCTCTTCCTCTCTGTAAAAAATCAATAAAATATATTTAAAAAAATAAAAAATAAATAAAAAATATAAAAGTGTTTACCACTCTAGGAAGGGCAAAGGTCATGGGTAGAGGATACCCTTTTCTGTGCTGCCCTGAGGGTGTGCCCAAGTGGTTACTTGGCAGCTGCCCTCAGAAGAGAGTGGTGGGTAGCAGTGTGAGCCTCGCCTTCAGGTGGAAGTTTACAAAACTGTCATCCCCTGTCCCTGCAGGGTACCTCCAGAAGCAGCCCTACTTTGGAGCCGTGGTGGGCAGGGTGGCCAACCGGATCGCCAAAGGAACATTCACTGTGGACGGGAAGGAGTATAAGCTGGCCATCAACAATGGGCCCAACAGTCTGCATGGAGGTATCAGAGGGTTTGATAAGGTGAGTCGGGGGGCACTGGGTGGAGTCCTCACCTGGCTCACACTTCCCACAGCCCCCGCTGGCATCCCTCCTGCTTCCCAGGCGCACCCCTAGGCCCCGGAGCAGGTGCGTGGGAAGGTGACTCAGGAAGGAGGCCGCTCCCGTGGTTCGGAGGAGCAGGTGCACTGGCTGTTTCAGGACCCGTCCTTGCCCAACTCCTCTGCCTATGAGAGGACTACGGCCTTGGCTTAGGAAGACAGGGAACAGCTTCCCGGTGTTGGACCAGGGAGTCGAGTTGACCTTAAGAACAGCAGGAAGGAAGACTGAAATAATACCTGACCACTTACTGCACGAGGTATTTCAGGTGTTATCTCTCACCCTTAGAGAACCCTGTGTAATCCCCACATGAGAAACCTGAGGCTTCAAAAGGCCACGCACTCCTACGTCGGGCTGCCTGGCCAGGAGCCCTCTTCCTTCACAACTGCTGCTCTCCACCTCAGCCACCCCTGCGGGTGCCCCCAATCCAACACGCACCCCTGTGTCTGTGGTGAAGCTCTGCTGCATGCAGGCCTACCTTTCCATGCCCCCAAATTACCCCCCGTTCACCCCAGTTCCCTCTTTCCACATTAAAACTCCCACTCCCTGCCAAAACCGGTGTGGCTCAGTGGATAGAGCGTCGGTCTGCTAACTGAAAGGTCCCAGGTTCAATTCCGGTCAAGGGCATGTACATTGGTTGCGGGCACATCCCCAGTGAGGGGTGTGCAGGAGGCAGCTGGTCGATGTTTCTCTCTCATCGATGTTTCTAGCTCTCTCCTTCCTCTCTGTAAAAAAATCAATAAAATATGTTTAAAAATAAAAATAAAACTCTCACTCCCCCAGAGAGACCGGGGAAAATGAGGAGAGGAAAGCAAATGGGCCCAACAGTTTCTCCCTGAACAGGAGCGCCTGGCCCCCTCACCCCCCTTGCTGGGTGTGGCCTGCTGGTCAACCCCGAGACTCTCTTACGTCTCATTTCGGGCTGGGAGGGAGATCCTTCGGGAGCCAGCTTGCCCTTCAAACACACCCCCAGGTGACGTCCTAGAGAAGAGCCAAGGAAGACAGGAACATGTGCAGCTAGGGACCACCGTTTCCTTTCTGCCCCTGGCTGCCGTCTGTCCCGGAGAAGGAAGTTGGTTACCCTGCTCCCCCGTCCCGCCAGCTTCCTGTCTGTGGCTCAGAACCAGACTGCCCGCCAGCTCCCTTTTCCTGGTGATGGGCGTCCTCACGCCGGGAGGCTCAGAGCCAGAGGGCCTCTGGCTTATGCCCAGTCCATGGGCACACCGCAACCAAGAAGTGAGGTCCAGCTCCGGGTGGACAGGGGGATTTTTTTGTTTTGTTTTGTTTAATATATTTTATTGATTTTTTACAGAGAGGAAGGGAGAGGGAGAGAGAGTTAGAAACGTCGATGAGAGAGAAACATCGACCAGCTGCCTCTTGCACACCCCCTACCGGGGATGTGCCCGCAACCAATGTTCATGCTCTTGACCGGAATCGAACCTGGGACCCTTCAGTCTGCAGACTGACGCTCTACCACTGAGCCAAACCGGTTTCGGCTGGACAGGGATCTTGAGCGGAGCCTCAGAACAGCACCTAGCTCCTGCTTGTTCCTGTTCCCTCTCCCCCATAGTGGTACACAGGGCATACATGTTGCTTAGCATGTGTGCCCTGTGTGAACGCAGCAAATGGCGAGGGTACCTGTATACGTATTCTTGAATGCAATGTGCCTGCTGGGCCCCTTCTCTGAACCAGGGCACACCATAGGATGGGGCTTTCTGAGGCTCACAGTACAGTGAGGGAGCGGGACCCTGTATAAGCCCATCCTATAGATGCCAGTGGTGTGACAGAGGAACTGGGGATGGACAAATGCATAGCAGCGGGGGAGGTGGGATTTGAACTGCTCTTGAAGGAAGGATAGCTTTTCACTCACTGTGTTGATATTGGAGAGAATGGCCGTGCAAACAGCCCAGAGGGAAGTGGGGAAACACTTGGGATGTTATTATGGAAAGTTTCTGAATGTTATTATGGAAAGTTTTGGGGTTTGTTTGTTTTTCCTTCAATATATGTTATTGATTTTTTAAAGAAAGCAAGGGAGAGGGATAGTTAGAAACACCAGCTGCCTGCTGCACACCTCCCATTGGGGATGTGCCTGCAACCAAGGTACATGCCCTTGACCGGAAAACCTTTCAGTCCTCAGGCCAATGCTCTATCCACGGAGACAAACTGGTCAGGGCTGAACAGTAGGTTATGATATAGTACCATGAGCAGTATCAGATGAACTTTATTTTCAGCTGTGTTTGATCTCAACAGTTTCGGAATAACTGTTCTTTTGGAGGCATGTGTTTTCTGAAGATGAAATGTGAAGAACCTGACAGGATTGGAAATGGGATAAGTAGGCCTAAAGGTGCAAATCAGGAAATTTTCTGGAAATTTGGAAACTATAGGGCCAGGGAAATCCTTCCACAAATAGGAATTATACTTCCCACGGTATTATACTTATCTGATCATATTGGTTTACACACTCAAAAAAAGTTTCCATTGTGTTCTTTCTCTAAAGGAGAAAAACAAGGTAGCAAAGTAAGAACATTTCAAGTTTTTTATTCCTAAAATTTTCCATTTGGAAGTTTCTTTTTTTTCCCTTTAATCACATATATGACGGGCTTTATGTGCTCAGTGTCTTGAAAATTCAGCCTTCCTGGGAGGTAATGAGGGTGTGGAATTAATTTGTTTCTAAGGCCAGTGAACGTGATTCAGATACCAGCTGCTTTCACCGTCGGTGAAGGCAGTCCTCCGCTCCCGCTGGGTTCGCCTTCCTGGCAAATGCAGTCACTGAGCGGTGCAGCCAGGAACGGGGGAGGGGAGGAGAGGGGGAGAGCAGAGCCTGGGCTCATGGCCATTCCTCAGGCCTTGTTATCTTTCAAGTCCATTTGGAATGACAGCATTTGGCCTCAACTCATAGAGATTTCTTTTTCATTTGAATTCTTTATTTCCTTTTTAAAAATCATATACTCACGGAGAGATTTGAACAAAACATCCAGTGAAGCCAAGATGTGTTATAATATAGACCCTTAATTTGAATCCTAGCTCTGTCACTAATTACATGTATGACTTGACACCCCTCAACCCTCCCCCCCCCCCCCCACACACACACACACTTCAAACAGTGGGCATGAGTTATTAAAGGTTTCTACTCCACTCCCCTGGGATGTGGGAGGTAGAAGTGAGCAAGTTAACGCCACTGAACTCACACAGTTTACTCATTTGTAAAATGGGAGTGATAATATTAATTGGAACCATGTGAAATTGCCACTGTTCAACTATTCTGACCTGCTAAGGTGATAATTTTTTTGGTCCCACCAAACCCTTACCTTGTGAAATGATTTATGTAAAAGCACCACGTCAGTGGCTGGTGAGCACTCAACAATGACAGTCTCATGTCTGCCAAAGTGCCCACTATACTCCCCTCACATGGGATTGAGCCTGCAACCTGGGCATGTGCCCTGACTGGGAATCGAACCCGTGACCTCCAGGTTCACAGATGGATGTTCAACCACTGAACCACGCCAGCTGGGCAAGGTCATTTTGAATACTATTAGCAGATAGCAGATATTCGCCATATGACACTCAGAATGTGCTGCTAAGATTTCAACAACAAAAAGAGTCTCAACGTAGGGGAAGAAAATATTGTAGACACATATGGATAAACTCAGGGGAAAAGCGAATAGGAAAAGTGTAAGTAGGTAAGGAGAAAATTTATTTTCTCTCCAGTTCTGTTTAAAACAGAATTCCAGAATAACTAAAGTCTAGGCTATTATTTCCATCCTTATGGGTTGTATCATTGTCTCCCTTCCTGGAATCAGTGGTCTTTAATAGTGAAACATGGCATTTAGCTCGGGATTGGAGTGACTAAACAGCTGTGAAAACACGTTTTTTTTTTAGGTCCTCTGGACCCCTCAGGTGCTGCCGAATGGCGTCCAGTTCTCCCGGGTCAGTCCAGACGGTGAGGAAGGCTACCCGGGGGAGCTGAAAGTCTGGGTGACATACACGCTGGATGGTGGGGAGCTCGTGATCAACTACCGCGCGCAGGCCAGCCAGACCACGCCCGTGAACCTGACCAACCACTCCTACTTCAACCTGGCCGGCCAGGTGAGTGACTGTGCCTCCCGTCGCCTGCGATGTGCCTTGTGGAATGAGCTGGGGGAGCGACTGGAGAGACCGACCCGGCATGAAATTGCCCTGGTGGGGAGGGGGAGCAGTCACCCCATGATGAGGACAGTGCCCAGCAAAGCATCTGGCTCGTCGTAGGTGCTCAATAAATGGGAGCTTTAGGGAAAGAGGGGATGAGTATGTTCTACTGCCCAGAGAACTATGTGCCCATACGCTCAGGGAGCTGACTGGTTAATTAAAAAATAAATAAATAAAATAAATTAAAAAAATATATATATATATTATTGATTTTTTTACAGAGAGGAAGGGAGAGAGATAGAGAGCTAGAAACATCGATGAGAGAGAAACACCAACCAGCTGCCTCCTGCACCCCCCCCACCGGGGAGGTGCCCGTAACCAAGGTACATGCCCCTGACAGGAATCGAACCCGGGACCTTTCAGTCCACAGGCTGACGTCTATCCACTGAGCCAAACCAGTTTTGGCTAGCTGGCTAGTTTAAGAATGCCCTCTCAGCTAGTAACATGTACTTACATTGGCTTCACCTACTTCACGCCTACACCCCTTCCCCTAAAAACTGACTTCCAAGAAGAGTGCTTTCTGTCCTTGGCCTCCGGGAATGTGCTCCGCCTGCCCCAGCCCTCTAGATGTGCTGAGGATATCTGTGTGCTCCTACTGTGCAGCCCACCCTAAGTGTGGGGTAGAGACATTACAACCCCCGTTAAGTAATTTCCAAATGGCCTCCTTCCTTCCTAATGCTAATAATTTAGCTGGTTGAGGAGGTGATTGCGTGAGACGAAATACAAAAAGCTCAGCTAAATTCTGCAGATTATATCTATTACTTCCTGTTCATCTGAAGAACTCATCAGCGCCTACTGTACTTGAATCGCTCGCTCTGGCCTGATTTTCTGTCGAGAGATGATGTTCGCAGCCAGCTAGTAATGGCTTGCATTTTCACACGCTTTTAGGAGTTTGCTGATGATCTGCTGATTTTTTTCCTCTAGGATCTTTTCAGATAGCGTGAGTTAATTGGTTCTTATATACTTTCCAAAGTTCTCCCTTTAAAAGTAAGGAAGACGTTTCTTCACTTGCTCTCTCCTTATCTTCAGGAATCTTCAGGAACGTCCACCGTCTTTCTTGAGATTTTTTTAAAAATGTATTTTATTGATTTTTACAGAGAGGAAGGAAGAGGAATAGAGAGCTAGAAATGTCGATGAGAGAGAAACATTGACCAGCTGCCTCTTGCACACCCCCTACCGGGGATGTGCCCGCAGCCAAGGTACATGCCCTTGATCAGAATCGAACCCGGGACCTTTCAGTCTGCAGACTGATGCTCTATCCACTGTGCCAAACTGGTTTAGGCTTTCTTGAGATCTTAAAGACGCACCAAAACACAAAAGCAAGACAAACACACTCAGCCATAGAAGGCTCTGCAATAATGACCATAAAGGCCCTCCTTTTCAAAATAAGTTCAGAAAGAAACTTGACAAAAATAGAACAAAGTATTCATGGTTTAAGGCAGGCAGCATATCATGGTGACTTTTTATTGTTTTCCACATTTTTATCTACTTAGACATCCGGTTTATAAGCTGGGGTGGTCTAGAGGAATAGATTCAGGAATAGAGAGAGGAATGATGTGTGAAGTATCACCTCTGCCAATGTGTTCCCACGGAGGAGACGTCATGGAAATGTAAGATTCACCGAGGCTCTTCCTATGTACCTGGCAGAGAACCCTCCTGACCAGAGTTTTACACCCTGCCCATCGCTGTAGTGACAGGTATTTCTGAATCTCTTAACAGAGGCTGAATGATTTCCCAGATAAAAGGCCCCACCTACTGTGCTTCCCCGAAAATAAGACATCCTCCGAAAATAAGACCTAATGCATGGAAAGATAAGACATCCCCTGAAAATAAGACCTAGCGCAACTTTGGGAGAAAAAATTAATATAAGACACTGTCTTGCCGAAACCGGTTTGGCTCAGTGGTAGAGCGTCGGTCTGCGGACAGAAAGGTCCTAGGTTCGATTCCGGTCAGGGGCATGTACGTTGGTTGCGGGCACATCCCCATTAGGGGGTGTGCAAGAGGCAGCTGGTCAGTGTTTCTCTCTCATCGACGTTTCTAGCTCTCTATCTCTCTCCCTTCCTCTCTGTTAAAAAAAAAAAAAAAAAAAAAGACACTGTCTTATTTTCGGGGAGACAGGGTAGAAGGATGGTCAGGGTTCCCTTCTGTCACTGTCTCAGTAAGTGCAGCTTGCATCCACAGCCACTAGCTCCAGGGTTAGGGATGGGCAGCCTCCAGCTCTCAGGTAAAAGTGGATGGTCAGTCACTAGGCCTGAGGTCAAGGACCCTCTGCATTTTCTTTTCCTTTTTTTTTTTTTTTTTTTTTTTTAATATATTTTATTGATTTTTTTTTTTACAGAGAGGAAGGAAGAGGGATAGAGAGTTAGAAACATGGATGAGAGAAAAACATCGATCAGCTGCCTCTTACATACTCCCTACTGGGGATGTGCGCACAATCAAGGTATTATGCATGCCCTTGACCGGAATCGAACCTGGAACCCTTGAGTCCGCAGGCCGACGCTCTATCCACTGAGCCAAACCGGTGAGGGCCCCTCTGCATTTTGAAACTATCTCTTGCCCTACCCACGGACACATTATCTTATATCTTAAACCCTCCGCAGGGAAATAGGTCAAAGCTTGGTATTTAAGGTAATCAGCTCATCTTATATATTTTCTCCTTTTGTTTGTTTTCTTTGCTAGTAATTTAATAGGATGTTGTTTGTTCTACTTGGGGCCAAGCTCTGACTCATCGCTTCTAAGTCTGAGTGTTGGGGGCCTGGGAGGAAGGGGGAACTGTTTTTCAGAGTATGGGAAAGTTATGTGGGTTGTAGGTTGGTTGTGTTTTCTCCTTTTTCTGCTGTTCCTGCTTTTGTCTAACACAAAACTGGGAGAACATGTTTCTTGCTGAAACTTTACCTAAAGAGCAATGAAAGCAGGCCTAGGGGACCGGGAGGTGACGGGCAGTAATGCTGGTTCCAGATGGCTAGGGAGGTGGTCATCAAGGACCCAGGTTCTGCTATCTTTCTTTCTTCTTCTTTTTTTATTTATTTTATTTTTAAAAATATTTTATTGATTTTTTACAGAGAGGAAGGGAGAGGGATAGAGTTAGAAACATCGATGAGAGAAACATTGATCAGCTGCCTCTTGCACGCTCCCTACTGGGGATGTGCCCGCAACCAAGATACATGCCTTTGACTGGAATCGAACCTGGGACCCTTCAATACACAGGCCGACGCTCTATCCACTGAGCCACACCGGTTAGGGCTGTTCCGTCTTTCTATTCTGCTTCTCCAGTGTTGTGGCCTTTGCCTTCAGGCTGTCCCCTCATGATCAGAAGATGGCTGTCACAGCTCTAGAAACCACCTCTGCATATAGTCACTTCTAGAGACAAAAAAGGACCTATTCCTTTTTCTTCATCTCTCTCGCGTTCCATTTTTAAGAACAAGCAAAACTTTCCCCAGAAACTCCCCTCCAGACTTTTCCTTCATTTTGTTGGCCAAAAGTGTGCTCTGTGCCCTGTTCAACCAAACACCAACAAGGGAATTAGACCGCACGGATTGGCTTAGACCAGTGGTCGGCAAACTCATTAGTCAACAGAGCCAAATATCAACAGTACAATGATTGAAATTTCTTTTGAGAGCCCAATTTTTTAAACTTAAACTTCTACTAATGCCACTTCTTCAAAATAGACTCGCCCAGGCCGTGGTATTTTGTGGAAGAGCCACACTCAAGGGGCCAAAGAACCGCATGTGGCTCGGGAGCCACAGTTTCCCTACCACGGGCTTAGGCCAATCAGGATTAGCCCTCTAGGACCATGGTAGAAGTCCTTGCCCTGAATCTATAACCTAGCACAGGATAAAGCAACAGGCCAGGGTTCTCCCAGGGGAGGGGAAGGTGCTGGGCAGGCAGTTGCTATGGCTTGGTTGGTAGTAACCAATGATGGCTGTTATTCTTGCAAGAGGCGATAGGAGCTGAATGAAGGCAGTGGTAGTGACAACGCACAAAAGAAGTCTTTAAGGCCCACTCTGTACATGGTTAATGTTACAGGCCAGTCACGGCCAAGCCAAGTTCACCAAAACACTGAGCTCAGAGGTGGACCTCGAGTTCTGTTTGTGCATCAGCACTCCTTGCCAAGTTTTCATCCGCCTGGAAGGAAATGAAGCCAACAGAAATATTCCACCAGAGTGGGTGGTTGCATCATTCCTGGCCAGAGGAGTCACAGAGTGAAGCACGCTTCGCTCAGGGAGGAACGCTGGTGCTGCTCGGTGACCCGGGAACCAGTAAGACTCAGTGGTGCCTGATAAAGGTTTTTTCCTTCCCCTCCCTGGCTTCTTGCTAACACCTCAGACTCACCAGTGTATTTGGTGTGTGATTTTCGTAGAGAATCATTTTCTTTCTGCCTTATTGTTGACAAACCAACAGAAAAAGGAAATCCCTGAGCACCTTTATTCATCATAGAAAAAACTGGAACAACTCCAAAGTCCGTCAACAGGAGAACAGGTAAACAAGCTGTGATGTAGTCACGTAATGGGACACTACTCAAACCTGAGCTGAGCATTGAACAGGTAGAGCCAAGGACACAGTCTCAGATTCAGGGAAGGGACACCCCTCGGTCCCAGAGGCCTGCTTGGGGCTGGCTGCACCCCTGAGCCATGAGTGGATGGCAGTAGGGAGAGCCACACAGGCGATGACCCCTCTGCTCTACAGCTGTCCTAGGCCCCTCCCATCTTGGACCTGCCCTCCCAGGTCAGAGCAGAGGCCAAGTAAGCGGCTACGATGGTGTAAGCAGATGGGAACGCTCTGACCCAGCCCGCCCTGCCACCGATCCCTGCCCCAGCCCAGCATGGGCCTGCCAGCAGGCTACCAGAGATGTTCCTCAGAAACAGACCTTCTTAGTAGGTCAAGTAAAACACTTTCTGTTGTGTTTAGACATAGATTCTCAAGATCTCTGAAATCTTGCATGCTGGGCCAGAGAAAGGGTGATGTGCCCCACCTCTGGCGAGCCCGGAGGCAAGGCCGTGGCCGTCCAGCCCTGTGGGCTGCGGGTCACTGACCCTTGCTCTTCTGTTTTTCCCGGCGTGTGAGGAAGGTGGAAAAAAACCCTCTGCTAGTAAGTCGAAATCCAAACAGCATCCAGACTCCTGGTGTCTCCCTGACTTTGCACCGTTATACTTTCATTTAGTGAAGAACATGCATGCTGGGGTCAGGCTTGAAAGCTTCTCCCAAATGTATCAGCTGCTGTTTTGAGGCCCTGTCCAACTACACTTAAAGGAGCGTATCGGCCATCTCAGAGGCCAAGTGGGATGGATGTCTAGCCAAAACCGGTTTGGCTCAGTGGATAGAGCATCGGCCTGCGGACTGAAAGGTCCCAGGTTCGATTCCGGTCAAGGGCATGTACTTTGGTTGTGGGCACATCCCCAGTAGTGGGTGTGCAGGAGGCAGCTGATTGATGTTTCTCTCTCATCCATGTTTCTAACTCTCTATCCTTCTCCCTTCCTCTCTGTAAAAAAAAAATCAATAAAATATATTTATAAAAGATAATAAAAATTGGCAAAAAATTAACCAATTTGGCTCAGTGGATAGAGCGTTGTCCTGTGGACTTAAAGGTCCCAGGTTCAATTCTGGTCAAGGGCATGTACCTTGGTTGCACATCCCCAATGCGAGGTGTGCAGGAGGCAGCTGATCTATGTTTCTCTCTCATTGATGTTTCTAACTCTCTATCCCTCTCCCTTCCTCTCTGTAAAAAATCAATAAAATATATATATTTTTAAAAGGGATTTCTAACGTTTCTGTCAATGCCTGGACAGGTTTCTACAAGAGAAGTTATAAAGCAAATATATGAACAAGGACTAAGCTTTAATAGGACTCCCTCTTCCTTCCCAGGGTTCCCCAAATATTTACGACCACGAAGTCACCATAGAAGCGGATGCCTTTTTGCCTGTGGACGAAACCCTGATTCCTACAGGTTGGTGAACTTTCACTTTGTATAGTAACCTAGAGCTAGGGAGCAGTTCGAGAAACACCGAAACATCATTTACCTGAATTTATTTTCCCTGTTGGCCTACCAAAATGCCTGTGATTACCATGCTTAGTCATTTATTTTGGTTTAGGTTGGGTGGCCATATTATTAGACAGAGAAACCAGGACCCTTTTGAGAGAGAAAGGAGGTGCTATTACTGACTGAGCCAGGGCAACATGCATACACGGGGACAGTCCCAAACACACGGGGTCCTGTGGCCATCCTAGCCGAGCCTTAGGTTCCAGAAGTTCTTTACTAAAATGTGAATCTGAAAAAGTAAGTAAGGAAAATGTACAACTGTTGCTTGTGAGCACCTTAGCAGAGATGAAGTTACCTGAACATTACCTCACCAATGCGGGGCCCTGATAGAACACGTGGTTTTTGATGGAAGAGGGAAGGGTAGGATGAGCTATAGCCTGAGCAGGACAAATGCAGACACATCACCTCTGGGACACAGCTGGGGGTGGGGTGGGGGGAGAGAGGGTGGAACTGAGAGTGCGGGGTGTCAAAAGGGGAAGCAAGGTGCTGCCCAAATCAACCTCATGGATGTGTGTGTACACAAGGCTTATGTCACCAGACCTGAGACATTAAGGCACTGCCTTCCCCCTCCTATGCCGCTCTGAAAAAGCACACCACTCCTGTGGCATTCTGTCAAAAAGGCATGACCTCAGTCCAGCCAGGAGAAGACATCCCATGAGCCCAACCACAAGACCATTGAGCAGAACCCTGCAGCGGTATCAACATCATGGAAGTCAAAGGAAGACTGAAGGACGGTCCCAGAGGAGACACTGAAGAGATGTGACAACAAATTGCAGTGCGGGGTTCCAGCTTGGTTCCCAAGGCTGAAAAGGGGCGTTAGGGAACTCTGGTGGCATTCCTGTGAGGTCCATAGTTTGGTTAACGGTTCTGTTCCCATATTAAACTTCTTAGTCGTGATCTTGTACCACAGCCATGTAAGATAGTAACATTAGAGAAAGGTGGGTGGTGGATACACAAAGATATACAATTTTTACCACTAAAATTCTTTCAAAATTTAAACACACACGCACACACACACACGCACAAGTCCAGGGCATTAAGTAAGACATTGCTTTAAGTTTACTGGGCATCGGCCTTACTACAGGTGAGACCTTTTGTTCTACATTGGCCTCTTTAAAACCATGGCTGTGTTTATGGCTGCCTGATCAAATGTGTGGGAGGGAAAAGGTAAGGATGTGAGCCTGCATACAAAACAGCAACTTCAATTAACAGCAGGAATTAGGAACTCCCTTAAATGCAGTGACTATGAAACTAATTAGAGTGAGAATGAGAAATCAGGATACATGGATCCAAATGTTTGGCATCACCGTGTCGAATGCTTTCCTGGCTTTGAAGGCTTCCTTATATTTGTCTTGGTGACATACCATCTTTTGGTGTTGACATAGCTCCATAGACAAGCCTGAGTGAGCTGGCCCGTCTTGTCCTGGATGCAGAATTGATATATTTGAACTGTATGTTGCGAACTGCACGTGGTGGTGGCTGTTCTGTGACTGATAAGGAAGAAAACGAGCTAAGCAGCTTATAAGTAGAGGCGATGAGCTGGGCGCGTCTTTATTTGAGTTGGCAGTGGTGTTTTGAGCACAAGGTCCTTGCTCTCAGGTGCCTCTCGGCTGTGCTGCAGTTTCAGACAGAGGGCCTCCATCTGCGAGGCTGAGGGCTCATTTCACCGCAAACCAGGAGCAAGGTTTGCAGCTGAGCTGTCAGGCTGGGCTTGCATGTTGGCAGTTAGTTTAGCTTTGCTTCTTCCAAGCAGTTGTTTTCCTCACTTACAAACAAATTGCAGGCCATAAAGCATTTGCTGCTACTTAGGATGGGCACACTCTGTTATTGGGCATCTTCAGTCCTCTTGCTCATGTGCGTGCATGCACGTGTGTGCGCGTGTGTGTGTGTGTGTGTGTGTGTGTGGTTATTGTTGTTGTCAGGGCTGTCCCTGTAATTTCCCAGAGCTGGAACTCCTGGAAGCCATGTACCAGGAAGGACAGGCATGTAAGGGATGTCCAGAGAAGGAGAGCACTCCAGGCCCAGCCCCCTGGGCTGCCTGCCAGCAGTGTAGGTCCGGGACCAGGGCCCAGTGCCCCACCTGTGGCAAAGGGGGAAACTGGTCCCGGTGCCCTGTTCCTACAAAGCTGGCTGACTGTGCGCAGGTGGGAAAACGCAGCCCTCTGTCTCTCCGGGGGCAGATTCGTTCCCAGGGCCGCAAATACCACATTCCACCCTTTCGCCTTACACAGCGGCGAGTCTGAGGCGACCTGGACAGCCTGCCCAGCAAGACATAGCTGATGCTCCACAGACAGCACTGGGCGGAGCTGAGCGTGTGTCCTCACGGCATTCATAGCGCATAACAGCAGGAATTCGAAAGAGTATCGATTACTCTTTTTATTTTTTTAATATATTTTATTGATTTTTTAAAGAGAGGAAGGGAGAGGGATAGAGAGCTAGAAACGTCAATGAGAGAGAAACATTGATCAGCTGCCTCTTGCACACCCCCCACCGGGGATGTGCCCACAACCAATGTACATGCCCTTGGCCGGAATCGAACCCGGGACCCTTCAGTCCGCAGACCGACGCTCTACCACTGAGCCAAACCGGCTTTGGCTCGATTATTCTTTTTAAATTTTGATCGCAAATATAGAGCAACAGAGTTAAAAGAGATAGATCATCTATGTCACTGCAAAACCCCGAGCAACCAAGGATCTACGGTGCCCAGGAAGGGGGGAAAGATTGCTAAGGAGAAAATATGAGCTATGAAGACAGAGTAGGGGGGTAGCACTCCTCTCTCTTTTAATTTTGCTGCTCTTTATTTGCAGACAAGGAATTGAGAAAGAACACAAATGAAGGCTTTGACCAGGTCCTTCGCCTCTTCCAATAGCGTTAGCCAAAGCCCATCTTATTCTTTTTCTTGAGAAAAGGTGCCTTTTGTTTTTACAAAAATTAGCCCAGCCCACTCTTTCCAGCAGCCCATCTGTGTTGACTTGCTGTTCTTGCTGCTCTGCGTTTGAAAGCTCACTTTAAAACTACATGAAAGCAAGCCCGTTGTGACGAAATTAGGATGCTGTGGCGGGAAAGGCTCACCGTGGGCTGCGGGGGAGACCCACGAGGCCTGTGCATTTTCCCTCAGCCTCTGTGGGCGCAGCGAGCAGAGCAGTCGGTTTTATAATTACTTCCCCTGGGCCGGTACGGGTGTCTGCTCTGCAGAAATAACGAATTCCAAAGCAGACTCCTGGTTCAAAGATGGCGCAGAGGGAGTCTTGTTTTGATCCACATGTTTTCATCTCCCTGGAGCTTCTTCCAGGAGATTTCTTTAGACGTCATACAATTCTAAAATATCGGACTTATTTCTTTCAGCCTTCCATCAATATGCTACCCCTTTCCTTTTCGATCCCACCCCTGCCCCACAACCCGATACTGTTAGTCATCAGGTCCTGGTGATTTTTAACGCCCAAGTATTTCTCAAATCGGCTTCCTCAATATGTACTATTGATTCTGTGGCTCCATCTTCATAATCACTGTCCTGGTTTAGGCTCTTTAAAAAAAAATTATTTTACTGATTTTTTTTACAGAGATGAAGGGAGAGGGATAGAGAGTTAGAAACATCAATGAGAGAGAAACATCAATCAGCTGCCTCTTGCACACTCCCTACTGGGTATATTCTCACAACCAAGGCACATGCCCCTGACTATATTAGCTGGCTATATTTGGTCAAACATTTCATTTATCTCACCCCTAATGCCTTGGCAGGGCCAGACCAGATGATTTCTTGAGCCTCATATGGCCCACGGGCCGGATGTTCCCCGCCCTACTGCAGGCGCAGAAGCAGGCAGCCGTGCTGGGACCTCGGGGTAGGTGGGAAGCCAGGGCGTGGTGTTCTGGTTTTCACTCTTAGCTCCGCACTTCCGCAGATGAGCCAGCCCCTGCCGCTCCAGGCCCACTCCCCACGTGTCTCCTTTCCCCATTCCCCATCACCGGCTCATAGCCGGTGCCTCCTGTGTGCCAGGTAATGCTAGCCCTAGGGAAGCAACCTTGAGCAAAATAGCTCTGGAGAACATGCAGCCATGCACCTAGCACAGGTCCTGTCCTCAGAGAGATGAGGCTCGAGTTCAGAAAAGGCTTGCCTAACGCTGCAAAGGCCAGCGCGTGGCAGTGGGGACTTAAGGGACCCGGGTTCGATTCCAGTCAAGGGCATGTACCTTGGTTGCGGGCACATCCCCAGTAGGGGGTGTGCAGGAGGCAGCTGATCGATGACTCTCTCTCATCGATGTTTCTAGCTCTCTAGCTCTCTCCCTTCCTCTCTGTACAAAATCGATAAAATATATTTTTTTAAAAAAATCCCGAGAAGAGTTTTATGAGGGCCCAGAATAACTCCCAACGCTCCTGTGCTCCCTGCTAGGAAACACATCCCCTCTGAGAGACTGGCAAACCTGAGCCAGCACGCTGGGAAATTTGGCAGGAAGCTCAGAAATTAGCACTTGGCCGGGCATTGTGTAATTCCTGTGAAAATTTCAGACCCACGTCAAGTAGCTGTGTCGGGAGAGTTATTTGCTAGAGCTCTGACTGCCACCCTTGGAGAGCTGATGGCCTGACACTCGCTCTGCCCCACCCGGGTCTGGTCAGGGGCTGGCGCACAGCCATCCTCAGAGGCCGCCGCCTTGGGAAGGGGCTGGGAGTCAGTGGGCTCTGCGCCGTGGGCAGGAAGGCTGACTCAGGCGGGCTCCCAGCGCGGACTTGCAACCAGCTCGGCCCACAGAATAGAGAGCACTTCCTGGCTGCTCCCTGCTGCCCCAGGCACTGGTCCTAGGAGAAGACTGAACACTGTCTCTGCCCTTGAAAAGCTTCTCGTGTGCCCAGGCCCCATGGGAAGGCCATCCAGAGTGGTCAGCACGTTGACAGAGACGACGCCCAGAGGACTA